GTGAGCAGCCAGGCAGTTGCCCTGGAGCCAGGCACAGCATCAGCCCTCAGATATCCCCCTTAAAGGTGCAGTTTTCCTTGGCTGCCTGCTCCCCTTCGCTCCAGTCATCACGGCCACATCCAACCAGCACAGCTGGGGCCATCCAGCTGCCCAGGCCTGTGAGTCTGCCCTCAGGGTCATCATCTGGGGTGACCCATGGGACAAGGGGATGATGCAGAGAGGTGTGGGTGAGCATCCCTCCCATTGCTGCTCCATGCCCAGCCCTGCCCCAGGCTAAGGTCTTCAGGGACCCCCCTCTGTGCCCCACTCTAGGATCTGACCTCACTCCAAGCCTCTACATGTGCTCACCCAAACCTGCCTGCCAAAATAACCCCTCACTCCAGCAGGTGAGATTTAGGGGACTGGGTCCCTCCCCTGGCGTTTGTGCCACCACCCCTTGCCTGTACCCCAGGTCGCAGAACATGACCGTGGATGTGCTTGCAGCCCTGTGCTGGGGATACTGGAGCTTCCTCGTCCCTGGGATGCTGGGGTGAGGCCAGGGCCATTGCCACACCGTGCCCGCTGACTGTCCTTGCTGGATGTTCAGAGGGGCCCCGTGCCCAGCCGGTACCTGGGTGAGAGCCTGGTGCTGGGTCAGGTCAGCACAGATTGTCAGGGGACAGCTGGGAGGACTGGGATGCCTGCGAGAGCCACAAATCCACCCTGGAGCCTGGCCAGGGGTGAGCGTCCCAGGGGCGGACAGGCCCTCCGCACCCCCAGGGACATGTCCACAAGGGGACAGGGGTCACTGTCCGGGATGCTGTGGGATGCTGCCCTCGCCACTCTTGATGCTTGTAGCTCATGCTGCCAGGGTTGGGTCTGGGAGGCAGGGGATGCACGCAAGCCCACCCGTGCCCCCGCTCCACCCCACAGCATCCCTGCCTGCCCCGCCGTCACTTGGACCCCCCGAACCCCCGCTGAGTGACAGGGTGGGAACAGGTGGGGACACGCTTGGGGCAGCTGCTGCCCGCACCGGTCGGCCCCGGGGGGCTATTTCGGGGCGTTAGCTCAGCACGGGCAGCCAGGAGGGCTCCGGCCACATTCCCAGATCCACAGCACACCAAAGGGCTGCCACTTCCCCACTGGTGGGCCACCAGTGACCTAGGGGTCCCCCACCTGCACCCTCATAGCACCGTACCCAGGGACATTTTTTTTTGGAATGCAGCCAGGAGCCCAGCTGTACACACCGCCCTCCCCTTGCAAGGCCCAAATCCCCCAGCAACAAAATCCCCAGGGCCCCCTCCCGCAGTGGTGGCCCCCCAGCAGCACCTGCGAGGGCCGGCACATAGCTGGCAGCAGGGGTCCAGCCTGCTGGGTGCTTGGGGCTGGACGTGCCTCAAATATTTTCCATGCTGTATAAGCACCCATGCTACGCTCCCCACCACCTCTGCGGGGAGGGCAGGCGCCCATGGCCCCCTGCCCACCAGCCCTCCCTTGATCCTGGGGGGTCCCGTTTGATATCCACGCTGCAAGAAAGCAGGAAACCCAGATTTTATTGGTGAACATGTCTTTCCAAGGTGACATTGGCATCCCCCACCCCACCCCAGAGCCTCGGGAGGAGCTGGTTTCCTTCAGTGTTTAATATGGGATGCTTAAAGTATCAAAATAGTGAGAGAAGCCTCAGCAAGTGCAAAGGGGAAGGACAGGGGTCCCAGAGCCGAGGAGGGGTGGGATGCTGGGCTGCGGGACCCCAGGTAGAGCTGGGTGTTAGTGGGCAGGGTAGGAGCTGGCGGGGGGTAAATAAATGAACTCTGAAAGCTGCAGGCTCAATACTAGAGAAATGGAAAAGTTACAAAAATACTGCAGATCTTGGAAAACGATGCAGGCACTTGGGAAGGAGGAGGAGGGCAGAGCTGGCTGGGGCCACGGGTGGGGGGAAAACCCTGTGGGAAGGCAAAGAGCAGCTCCGGGGCTGAACCCATTGCATTCCCCCCCCAATCCTGAGCAGAGGCACTATGGCTTCCAGCCCTGCTGCTCCCCAGAGGGGCCTAGGCTGAAGAAGATGCTCTTGGGGGGAGCTCAGTGCCTCCCAGGGAAGCTATGGAGGAGGAGGAGGAAGAGGAAGAAGATTCAGGCAGCAATAAGGCATTGGAGGTGAAGGGTGCCTCTGTGAGAGAGGTCTGCAAGGGACCATACCGCTCCCTGCAACCCATCGCACAGGAAAGGGCAAGCCGCCCACCTCTCCTTCTCCTGCGAGAGAATAAAGTAACACA